ACCACCGTTTTCTCAGCCTCCTGAACCCAAGCGCTGCAGATTTTGCACAATCAAGGGGAAAACAAGCCAAGAATCACTTTACCTTCCAATGGTTTATTTAATGGACCTTTCACTGAGGGAAGTCTGTTCTGCCCTGCAGGCCCCTCACTGCACACACATCCCTCACTCAAAGTTCAATGCTTCCTCCCTCTCTGGCCTCAAAACTGCAGTTCTTCCATATCCCATCTCTCTATGCTTCCTCTGCATCAGAAGGGACACCAAAATTCACCTCCTCTCAGTCTTTTCTCTTGACTGTGCCAATATCCTCACAGCAAAAATGTTTAACAGCAGCACAGCTCAGTTATGGATGTGCTTACATAATCATATAGCTAAAAGTTGCCTGATTTATCCCTCTTGACCTTCTATAAATCATCACAGAAAATGACAACACCAGGCCCAGGCCCACTGCTATAGCACTCAGTACCGACCCTGACCGCAGCCCTCACTGCACAGATGATGACAACACGCTCGGTACCCTTACAGCTCTACAGCTGGCCTTCACACAACACAAGTAACATCAGAAATCCTGACTTGCAATACTGGAAGCAATCTGGTTTTCAAATGAGGCTGCTTCAAAAACACTTGCAGGGATTTAAAGGAAATGGAAAAAATCTTTCCCCTCCAGCCCCCTCCAATCACCACTGTGAAAGTATCATAAGCAAAGCCATAAGCGCTCCACTCCCATTTTTAGGTCACCTCCAGCCACAGCCATGAAGGGAAATGTTTTTCTCACAATTACTGGCTCTTTATTTAAAAAAAAAAAAAAATCACAATAAAAGATGCTTTGTCATCCATGACTGAGACACAGATGCTTAACTCAAAGGCAGCACCTTTACCCAACTATGCCTGGCTGTTAATTCCTAACTCCTAACACCACTTTTTAACCTAACACACGTAAGACAGGCATGTCACAACACTTAATAACCACTAGTGATGGCCCTGCCGGGCACAAGGCAACATACAATGCACCTCAAACATTAACAGTGCACCTTAAACGTCTCGGTTGGCCCACACAGACTACAGCACAACTGCAAATCTCTTCAGACACAGAGATGAGCAGAACTGGAGACCTACCTCAACAAGCTTAGTAACAATACACTAGTCAATGCCACGAAAAATAATTCAATTAATCACACTCCTACTAAGAAAAATGTCTTTTCTCCTCGTGGGGGCACACCCATACTAACACACGTAACAAACACCATGCTGCCATCTGTACAAAAGGCTCCACTCGCCTCGCATCAAAGTCTTGAGAAAAGAATGGCCACAGATTTGAGCTGCCTTTACCTAACAGGCATCCCTGTCTTGCTCTTCCTGCAGCCTCAGATGAAGGGGAGAGGCAGAAGGAAGATTACCATACACCATTTAACACATTCCCATTCAGCGAGAGCCCCGGTTGACAAGAAGCAGAGGATGGAAGATGTTGGAAGATGTTCATTCCCCTTCAGTGCCAAATGGAAATGAGCGTATGCAGCACAGGGGTTTACTTCTCCAGATTTCTTTAACATGTTTCTTTTTAGGAACGCTCCCCCCAGAACCATTAAACGTCAGTTTAAACAATGGGGTTGATAAACAGAAATAAGGAGTGCCTTAATGTGGAAGAAGAAAACCCACACCCTTCCCTTCAGCTCCATGAGCAGTCACTCGAAAGAACAAGTGCTGGAGTCAGAAAGCATGAGACGAGTGGTGAAAGGCAGAATCCTACATCAGAACTTCACCCAAGAATTAAGCAGGCTATAAACCCTCCACAGGATTAATTATTAGCACAGTGTGTGTGTGGAGCGGTGGGATCGCTGTTGTGTTGCATAGCAGAAGCCTGTCTTAAACTCTGAATAACACTATTTTGTCCATTCCTTAGACTCTGTAATGATCTGGTATCAATAATCTACAGTGTATTTTGCCTGGCTGAACTCATTTTTATAGGAAGATCAACAGAACCAACTCTGATGGGAAATAAAAAAAGGAACATCCTGCTGTAATCTCACAAACTGCACAGCACACCAAAGCCACCCTGCAACCTCCATGGAGGAAGCCCTCACTGCAGGGTCTGAGCAGCTCCTCTGAAAGCACAGCAGTCCCATGCGATGGTAGGAGGTAAGCCTTTCAATTCCACTTCAGGAACACAATGGCTTGTCCACTCCAATAACTATTGCATCTGCCCTCAACGCCAGCAGTAAGGCGAGAAAAGAAAAGATAAAATAGGAACGACGCATTTATTTTTTTCAGTTACTCTTCCGGAATTGAATGAATAGAATCTGAACAGAAGACACCAGAACTCCATGTTATCATGGGCTGAGATTGTGACTTTTGTTCCACGTTAGCAATTAAAGAACACATCATTAAGCAGGCGAAAGAAAAGTTTTCAAATATAAGAAAGTGAGAACTGAAAGCCACTTTGTGCATTAATAAGTTGCACAGCTTTGATGTCAGCGCACGCTGCTCAAGTTAACGCACAGCGCTGTTTCACTGAGGAAAAGTCAGTTGCAGTGCTGTGCCCGTGCCATCAGGCTACTGCCATGGCAGAACAGGCCCTAAGCCCAACTTCTACAGAGACTGTTTAATGGTGTGGCCTTCAAAAATAAAAATCTTTAATTTAATGAGGTGAATGAAGTACAAAAATCTGTGTTTTCAGAAAAATGGCTCTTGGAAAGAACGCATTTAAGCTAAACTACAGGCAGCAGACATGCAAGGCGAAGCTACCCACAGGTACCACAAAGCCAACTACCTCCTACTGAGGCAGGACACGCAGCTGACAGAGCAGTGCTCATCACAGCCTTACAGCCCTGCTTCCACAGAGCCAACAGGTGTGTGCTGCTGCCGGCCTCCAAAGCCACACTCAGCCCCAAACACACAGCGTGACCTCAAGGGGCCATCTGAGAAATCAGCTACCCCTCTGAACAGAGCCCCTAAAAGCTTTGCTGCACACATCAACTTGTTTAAGGAAAACTGCATCACTTCCAACTCGAGCAGGGTTTCTGACCAAGACAGGTCTTCTGCCACAATGAGCCATTCTACTCCCCACAACTGCTTCAGCTTCCCATTCGGCCAAGTCCAACATGACTCAATGCTACAGAGCCATTTCCCCAGCTTCTGCAATTCAGTGCTCACTTGTTTCTCTGTCCCATGTCCTCAGAGGAAAAAAACCCTCCGTGACATTACAGCAATATAAGCCCAGGTATCTCAGCATGTGCAGAGCGCTCTATGGACCCCCTCATTTAAGGGTCCATTTACAGCGATCTAAAAACACACCTGACAACAGAGCAAAACAAACACACGTACAAACGAAAGATGAGCATATTTCTACCACAACTTCCAACCTGCAAATGCCTCCTCACAAACAAAACACAGGAAACAGAACGCTGAGAAGGGCCCAGAGGAGCTGCACGGACAGCAGGAGGCTGCTGTGCACTGCAACGCTGCGATCCATCCCATCCCTCCCACCCAAGGATCCCTCCCTCTCACTGATGGAACTCCTCTACTACGACTGGTGGATGATGCCAACTGCATATTTAGAGCAGAATTAGGGAGGAAAAAACAACTAACGAGGGCACTGGGATACTTGGCTTCCTAAATTCCAAACTGAACGCCCTCAAACACTACACTTATTTCCAGCTGGTCAGAACTATTATAATGCCTTCATATTGAGATTTGGGTTGTTTTTTTTTTTTCCCTTTTCTCACTTCTGTCTCACTGGTGGAAGTGCAGAAGGCTGCTTTATAATTATGCTCTTCAGAGGCCAGAAGTGTTAAAATTGTACCCTTCCTCACCAGCCTTCCAAAAAGGCGTGTATAGGTTTGCACACATTCTAGCACCTAAATGAAGAAAGCAGCCTAACAAGTGACCTCACAGCTCTCCCCCAAATGCAAACCGCTCAGTGCAGGGGAGGTAACACAAAGATTCTGTTCTCGTACGTGTGAGATACCAACAAACATTTTAAATGCTTTTTGAAGACAGACGGGGCGAGGGTGCTGCTGCAGCCCCTGCTCGGGATGGTTAAGCACAGCGTACGACGAATAAAGAGCAGGAATAACCGTACGAATACGGGCATCCAACGCCAGCGCCGAGAGCCGCCTCGCACGGCACCGCAGCGAAGTTTGAGCGCTGCCAGCCCACCTCGCGCTACATTGCAACAAAATCACATTACAAAAAGGCTCCGCTACCAACTCCGCGGCAAACAGAGCATCATTCCCCCTCGTGCTCGCACAGCCCCTCTCCTCCGCCGTTCAGGGCGGCTCGCACCACGTTTACACCGAAAGCCCGAAGGCCCCGTTCTCAGCGCCGCCCGCCCCGCGCGCTGTGCCGCAAGACCCGGCTGCGCTCCGCCGCTTCGCTCCGACCTCTCTCCTCCCTCCGGACGCCGCATCTCCCCGCTCTCCCATTCGCGAGGACTTTTTTCGCCGCCGTTCGCACGACGTTCCGTTTCTGCGCTTCGTTCCCCCCCCGAGAGGGAAACTTCTCACCGATCGCGCCCGCTGCCCGCAGCCCCCCCCGCGCCGCGGCCCCGTGCCCCCCCCCGGCCGCCCCCCCCGGCCCGCCGCCGCCGCCGCCGCCCCCCCTCGGTTCCCTCTCCCCTCCCCCCCACCGCCCCCCGGCACCTCCCGAGCGGAGCGGAGCGGCCCGCAGGGCGCACAAAGCCGCTCCCCGCGCCGTGCCCTCCCGCCGGCCGCCCCCCTCGGCCGCTGCCCCCACCCGACACCCGCCGTCCCGGTGCCCCTCGGCTCGGAGAGCGGCCGCCCGGCCGCCCCCGGCAGCGGGGACCCCCCTCGCTCACTCACCCGCCCGCCCGCAGCCCCTCGCCGCCCGCCGCTGCCTCCTCCCCGCTGAGGCTCCTCAGGAGACACTGACACCGGCGCACGGATACCCGCTGGGCGCTATTTTTGGGAAACAAGGCCCGAGCGCGGCCGGAACTACTTCCTCTGTCACTCGCTGCTGAAGAGGCGCAGCGCAGCCGGCGCCGGAGATATCCTTCCGCCGTCTCCTCAGGGCGGGCTGACGCGTTCAGCCCAGCCAGGCCGCGGCGGGACGAGGAAAGCAGCGTAGGAGATGGCGAGGTGAGCCCGCTACCGGTAGCGGGGCGGGGAACGCCCCAGTTTTAGCGCCCGGCATCGCCGGATTATTTTGTTTTACCACGGGGAGCGGCCTGGTCTACATTCTTCACCGGAGACCCAATGGCGCGGCGCCGCCCGCCGATAGGGCAGAGCGCCGGAGTGAAGGGCGAGCAGCACCAATCGCAGCGCACGGAGGAAGCGGCAGTGCCCGCCCATCAGCACGTAGTGGGGAGGCGGGGCGTAACGAAACGTGGAAGCCTTGAGTGACTGGAGGGTGATCAATCGGAGACAGGGAGGAGGAACAGACAGCCAATCAAAGCGCAGCTGAGGCGGGCCTAGCGGAAAGGAAACCCTGAGCCACGCCTCTCCCGGCAGCGGGGAGCGGCGCATGTGCCCAAAGGCTCGCTGGGTCGGGCCGCGAGTGACGCACGTAGCCCGGCCCGCCCCCTACCATCGGAAGGCGCATGCGTAGAGGCGCCTCCCGCTAGGGCAGGGCCGCGGCCCCGCGGCGACGTGCCCGGGGTTGCCGAGGTAACGGCTGCGGCGGGGCCTGGGGCCCTGAGCTCCGCCCCGCGCTCAGACGCAGGGCGGGCCGCCTCGTCGCAGCCTGCAGCCCCCCGGCCAGCTTCAGGAGCAGCGGCTGCGGCCCCGCAGAGCCGCTTCAAGGACGGCTTTGGGCCCTCGTGCGTTCCTCAGCTGTCTTTCTCACCCTCTCCGTGCTCAGCCATACTTGCCATTAATTCTGCTTTAAAGAGTAAAGAGCAGCTGCAAATAAAAGACCACAAAACTGGCGTCTTCCCCCCACAACAGAAGGGAGCAGCTGGCCGCCCCAAAGTAAAATTCTCCCATTAAGAAGTTCCTTGCCAAAGCAGCCACTGGTGCTGTTCCTGTTCTCCAGCACTGTGGGGCACAGAGCACAGAATGCAGAGCTGACACCACAGCGCCCAGCTCTGCTCTGGGACACGGCAGCCACTGGAAAACAGTCTCACTGCTGGGCGACAGAAAATGAGGGCCCGAGATGGTTAGAAAGTGACACAACAGCATCTCCACTGCTCACCGCACCGCTGGATGGGAACACGTTGAGTCTCCGAGAGCATTCCCCAAAAATTTGAAATTATTTGTAATTCTTTATTTTTTTTTTTTTTTTTTGCAGTTATTGAGCTCAACTGGAAGCGGTAACGCACAGCTCCCAGCCATTGTGAAGAGACTAAAATTTGTGCTGTAAGCTTCGATTGGAATTTATCTATCCCCTAAAGTGAGGGCATCCACCTTTCCTTCAGAGCAGCAAGCAGGTTCTTCCATAGATGTAGGAAACAACGAGCAGGAGGTGGGAGAGAAAGAAATGACAAAACACAGATCTTTGCCACCCACTGTCATATTTCCAAGCTGATTACTACTGACCTGCAATAAGTAAGAGATGAAAATACATACCACTTTCTTACATTTCTGAACACCAACAGTCCTAAAGGCATTGATTTTTATATTAACGTAGCTTATGCTCTTGTTCCTCACTCCATCTTCCATAATACCTACAAAAATTAATACTATGCAATCAGTTCTTGAGCACAACAGGCTGAGAATACATTGGATAGAATACTGAATTCTTTAAGTTTTAAAGTCAGTAGGAGTCTGAATAACCAAGCCCTGAAGCAAGGACTTCTGGTTATGCTCATTAATTATTTTCACTATGTAATCATATTATTCTAAGCTGGCAAAAATAAAGCAGGAAGCCAAAGAGATAAATAATTGCTCCATTTCAGTGGCACTAGAAAAATAAGCATAGCATGTGTTGCTCAAGGGATTTGTATATATGCCTTGCAAACAATAGTTAAGGAGAGCAGAGCAGTGTCTTTCATACTGAAATGCCTTGCTCTCTCAATTGAAATGCCACCTATGTAATAATTGAGAAAAGGAAGTGCAAAATGTGGCATCCAATTGAAATTATTGATATTGTTTCCCATACACGATTTACTGCTACTTCTGCTTCAACAAGCCCCTCTTGGGACAGCGAGTGGAAAAGAATGGGTGGGAGATAGGTCACAGATGTTCTCACATGTCAGAACAGCACAAATGAAAAACAACACTCCTCAGGGTGGACACAAATAAAACCACAGAAGGATTTCTATATTAAAATGACTGAAATCACTCCGTGGTGTGACGGCCCTGCTCTGGGTTAGGTTTCATTTCCAGCACAACTGCAAAGGCAAAATGCACCTGGATAATCCAAACGATGCAAAGCAGTCACTGACTAAAGCAAATCCACACTACAGGGGAAAAAGAAAAAAAGAAAAAAGAAAAAAGAAAAAAAAAGATCATCTTTATAAGACCAATTAATTTATGGCCAAAGAAGCAGCAACATAAAAAAGCCCCAGAGAATATCACACTTGTGTGCCAATATGACAATAGAGAAATGATCACAAGGATCTGCTAGGATCATTCTTGAGAAATAAAAAAGCAACTGCTGAAGAACCCCATCTGAAATCTCTTTCCCTGGCCAAACAACAGGCCAGTGTAATTTCCTTGATGTCCTACACAGAGAAGTAAACCCAGAAAACAGAAAATAAAGAAAACGATAAGGAGAAAAATGATTTTAAAGAGACAACAGCAGTCGTAACTTTGACTGTTCAACTGTGAGGCTCTTTAGTTGTCATCCAGCAATAAGGCTTTTCTGTGCATTTCTATTCCAGTGCTTTTCCACCCACCCACTCAAAGCGTTTTAGAGACAGCAGCACCAAAATCATGTCTGCTCTTTTAACTTACATTCTCAGACCTTCTGACAAAGCACTCCAGAGAGAAGTACCATAGCTGCTCCCCACCCTTCCTTTTTAATATTTCTTATATTCCAGAAAACAGCTTTTTCATCTCATGCTTCTAAAGGTGAACTTTGCATTAAAAAATAACCCAGGATTTTTTAAGATTGGGGATGAGGAGTAGGGAGTGTTATATAGCTTCAGTGTATTTGTTAAACAAGTTATCCTTCACCGGGAAGAAGGGTCTAAGAACAAGCTTTTAAGAATAAGGTTTCTTAAAATCACAGGCTAGATTAATTCCTAGCATTGTTTCACTTGCAATGGTGGAAGTAGTCTATGAATGAAGATTTTTTTAAAGGACTACGTGTTGCAACAAAACCAAATTGTACTTGTAGCATTTCAGGATGGGAACTTTCACGAGGAATAAAGGATGTGAGAAGGGGAGCTCCTACCTATGGGGCAGGAAGCCATAGAGGAGGAGATAATGCTTGGGCAACCCTATTAACCCCTGATGGCCAGCCCAATGCAGACGCAGATTTGCACTTGGCCAAAGCTGGCTTGTGAGCTCTCTGTCTGTAGTTGGGAGCGCTGCTCATTCACTACCATTTGGCTCTGGTGTTCCACCAAAGACAGCTAAAATAAGGAAATCTTAACCTGATTATATCTAAATCCAAATTGCCTGACAGTGCATGAATTACATTCGCTCAATCCACATCATCAACCGCCTCCTGTAAGCCGCTAATATTTCCACACTGTGGTACGGTACATTCAGTAATCCGATTGCCTTGGGAATATTTGTTTTTCCAGAACTTGTGGCCAAGGTACATAAGATTAGATCGGATGCAGCTTGTCTAAGAATGCTGTAATGTGGGTGCACAGTATATCTGCTCGTTTTGAGTTACAGGTAGAAGTTCTCTTTCTCTCTTTCAGACTTTTCCAGCCCCAGGCTCAGGCTGTGCTATCTGAAGCTTCTTGCAGCATTTGGTTCTTCTCGTTTTGTGTTGCTGCTGGCCTTCTAATGCCAGAGATCACCACAGGAAATATCTGTACGGCATGTCTCGCTTGCTGCATGACTGATCCGTACCTCAGCAAAACTTGGGATATTTTCTAGGTCTTCACAATGACAGAAGACAAGTCTCTGTGGGATTCACACCCTTCTGCTGGGGTTTTCTCACCATTCTGCATGTTAACATGAACCAACAGCTGGGTTTAAGAGATCTGTTATAAATAGTAACATCGTGCTGCTAGCAAGCTTCTTGGAAAGTAAAGAAAATACGTTATTTAATGCACTCTGACATTTGCTTTTCCTCCCCTATTCCTGAGCTGCATTTCTGTAAACATCCGTAACAACAAATGCACAGAAGTTGACTTCTTCACGTAGACATAACAAGTGCTGCCTTGAGCCCAGGAGATGATATCCAGAACAGCTTACCTCCCTACAGCCAGACAGCTGGCAAACTCTCACAGTAGGAAAAGGAGTCAGAACGTGGATGGAAATTCCTGATTCCAGCAGCGGCCAAGATTACAACCTTTGGCATTTGATTTTCATGGCTGCTCTACGTTGCTGCAGAAACTTCCTCCTTTTGCCATATCTTTCCATTCATTAAAATTGCAGCTTGCAATTAAACATTCTGACATAACATAGCTGAGATTTTTTGGCAGCAGCCTTAACCAGAGGTTTTCAGAGTTTCCTGCAGACAGCTTTAAATTTTCATATCCTCATGAATGCTTGCCACCTTCTTTTAATGACCTGAAAAAATAACCTTCTTCTCTTAGGAACTTCATTGTTGCCTTATTTCCCCAGCACTCATTTACTGCTTCTAGAAATATGTCATGCACATGTATATTTATAGAGGGAGCACAGTGTACATATGCACCGTGTAGTTTGACATCTTATAGAGAACACACAGATTGCATAGGAGATCTAAAGAAATATTCTTACATTCAATACTTTCTTTATTAAAAGGCATTTCTCCCTTCCCATGGTATTGTATCATTTCACTTATTTAAGAAATATTTACTACATTATTCAAAAACTTCAGCCCTTGATCTGTTATTAATTTCGTAGCCTTACAGATTCTGACTTTCATATAAGGCAACACTAAACTATTATTTCTATGCCATAAAATATTTCTTAGGATAGAATTTGACCTTTTTGCAAAGAGCTGGAAGTCTCAAGGATTTTCAAGTTATCTGCATTCTTAAGGTGCAGAATATATTTTATCTGTTGGAAGCATGTTCAGAAAGCGCTCATCTCTAATACAGACTTGAAATTGATTTTAAAAAGGGTCCTTCTAATGTTCAAACTGGCCCTAATCTCTTTTTTCTTCTAACATTACCTGGCAAATAAATTCTTAAAGGGATATTATCAATTTAAGAACTATGCTTTACTCTGGAAAATTCTCCAAGAGATTAAAGAGAAGACATCCTTTTTCCTGTAAGTTTAATTTCTATATTCGACTGCAGTATGTGTGGTCAGTATCTCATGCTGTTAGGAAACAAAAGAGACAGAAATAGAGATAGGAGACCATAATACCTAAAAAGTCTTTAAACTGCTCTTTAAAGTAGACTTGAAGTTGGTGGGACCTCTTCAAGTGACAAACGACTTGTGGAACTCTTGAAAGCCAGATAAGTTCTGCCTCATGCAGAGCATCCTCGGCTCCCACTGCAGACAGCTGCAGCTCTTAGCATGGCAATTTCAGCGTTATTTTTCCTAGACTTGATCTGTTTTTCTGGAAACTCCATCGGTCAAATCGCACACGAGACATATGCTACTGCCCTGGTCTTGTAAACTTCACACACAGAGTGCAGAAAAGGTCTGCATGATCTGTTATAATGTGCAACATATAGGAAAGAAACCTTTATAGCAGTTGACTTCTGAAATAAAGTTTAATCTTTAAACTTGGGCAGTATACAAGGTACGTTTTTGGCATTTTATGATGGCATCCAGACTCCAAAGTACAAATGGAGCTGTGGTTTATTTTCAGTCAGTTTCTCTGGGATTACACTTGGGATGATTGATCTGTGTCCCACAGGATTTATAGAAGCCATCAACCTGCCTTCTTGCTCAGGCACTTTATCAGGTAAAGGCAAAGATGCCATTCGTTTTATCCTGGGAGGTTTGCTCTAATTTGGAAAACAAGACTTAAAAAAAAAAAACAAACCTGTGTTAACATGGATCAGCTGGTGTGCATTTCTGAGTTTTGTATCAGAGCAAACAGCATCAGGCATTTATTAATGGACGTGTCGTCCTCTTGGTTGTGATACAGAATTATTTCATCTCCCAGAACTTCACTGAGAATACACTCAATTCTAATTATTAAAAGCAGCAGCATATTTGCTGTGATTTCTTAGTATGCTTTCATTTGTTTGCCAGTCTAGAAGACAGCTCACCTGCTCTCTCTGGTTACTTGGTGATAAACTGTTTCACAGAGCCTTCCTGTGGCATCTAGGGCAAGTGTTTTGAAACACAGCTCCAGTACACGCATAAATGTGTCATCTTGTGCTAAAATGCCACTTCAGTGCCAAGCCAAGCCAGCTGGCTTTGGACAGAAAGTTCTTTTCTGCTTACGTGTACAAACTTTATCACTTTCCTGTCCTTTTTCTCTTGCTGTCACAGTACTGCAGAGGTGGTGGCGGCTGATGGCAGAGTGAGAAGCGGTGTTCAAAATGTGTCCACGTTAGTCGAGATAATAAAGCCTGGTCCTGCAGCCATGTGTTGAATCCATCTGCCTGAAAAAGCATCTCACATAATTTAATCAAATATCTTCCCTTGTATTATGTGGAAGCAGGGAAAGATGAACTGGAGTTTCAGTTACTAAGTAAAAAGAAAGAAAAAAAAGCATCCAAAGTTTTGATGCCTGGTATGTTGTTTCCTTGGCCCCAGTCATAGTTTGAGAGGGTCCAGACTCCTCCTAGGTTTGGAACTCTTCTATCTTTAGCTTCAGTTTAGCAAATCCTAGTTGAAAATAAGCAAACATATTCTTAGCTTTCCCACAGAGTAGAGTAAGAAAACAGGTCTTACCTGAGAGGAAAGGTGAAAGTCTGGGGCTGGTGGTTTTCTTTTATTATTGGCGGTCTTGTTTTGTTCATTTTCATCGTCTTTTAAGAAAGATGCAAGCATCTCAAAGATAGACTCTGAAATGAAGGGCGTTCAAACCTCTCACTGTGGAATAACGCTGTACAAAGCCCATGGAAAAGTTCCTACTAATTCTAAGATTTGACCTGAAAATGGCAGTACCTAAAACAAAACATAAAAAGTGCAATGGCTATAGTTTAGCTGGTGTACTGGTTACAAGCAGTTAAAATATGATTTCACACAATTTACCCCAGCTGAACCATCCCAAGCTAGGTTAAAACTATTACTCCCATGGAAGACAGGTTCTGAATTTACCATGCCTTAGCTATCCCTTACCCTGAGGACAGCCTACCTCACATCGCCTGGTATTTCATGCAAATAAGCACATGCAAAAAGCTGACGCAAAGACTTGTTATCCCCTCACTAATTGCTGTCCATGTGTACATAGACACAGCCTTGCTTGTGCCAAGCAAATTTTAAGTGATACTTTCAGGGTCTGAATACATGAATGAGTGATCTCATTCACGTACTGACATGCTTGACAACTTACCATGCATCGCCTGAGCCACGGTGATTGTCCATGTGTGTTTGCTCTTCGCCTGTGGCCAGCTCAGATGGAAGAAACCAGTTTCAACTTCTCTTTTTCTTGCCCCTGAGGTTAAGCTGACACACTGAGCCTCACGTCTGCTGCAGGCTAGAGAAAGGCACACTGCAGTTACCATGCCTCAGCTGAGGTACAGTAACTCGTTTAAGTTGCTGGAGCTGGACAGCATGCCTGAGCTGCTGGTTAAAATAGGATAATTGAGGGCATAAATCAGGTGTTAGCTCAGCTCAGTGCAAGTCAATTAGGGATGGATTCAAGCTAAATTGACACAAATCACTCTTAGTCCAAAATAAAAGTGGCTACCCCACACTAGCTTAACTAAATCCAGGACAGCTTAGTCTAACAAAAATGGAAAGACTTTCAACCAGCCATAAAGAGCCAAAAATGTTATACCCGATGCTGAGCGTTGCCTAGGGCATGTGCATTCACTTCAAGCAACAAATACAGTTTGACATACAAACAAAGAAAGTGAGCCAAATTCACAGCTATCTCAGCAGACAATGTAGAGAGAGGACCAGAGGCTGTGAGTGCAGCAATACCTTCTCCGGCTCTGCTAGCAAATTTAGTTTTCTCTACCGTATTTCACTGTAAACAGTTCAAAGAATGAGTACGAAATGCTGCTTTATCTCAGGAATTTGCACTCCACCATCGTTTAGCAACAAATATGGAACGATGCTGACATGGGCCTGGTAAAGGTTGATTGTAAACAAATATAAAACAGCTGAGCTTGTTTGCATTCTTTGAGATTGACAAAAAGTATTAAGGAACAGAGAATGATATACGTACTGAAAAGTCAATCCAAGTTCCATACATCTTAATGATCTGAAGTGCTATTAGAAATTCAATCTTGCAGAATAACCCCTAATGAATAAAAAGCAAATAAAGCTTGATTTTCTCAAATGGCTTCACCCTTCATCTCTAGGAACTGTTAATGAAATTAGGGATGCGTAGTTGAGATTAATCATCAAGTGACCATTTCTAAAATCCCTTACCAATGGGAGACTGACGTGTGAAGCAATTTGGTCCCCGTTTGGTTTCCGTTTCCTGGCTGAGTTAATTCTTTGAAGAAATTCTTCCAGAGAAAATATCCGTGGGAAACTATTCTGAATTCTTGGTGTTGTGCGAGACTTTGGAAGATCAGCATCCCACTAGGGAGGTTACAAGATGTATACGCACAATAAAATGATAGTCTTGCCCCTGCAACATACCACACAGTCCTAGCAGCAAGCTGTGCTTCAAATACATTCCTGTAAGGCTGTTGAGAACCAGTAAGGACTCATTCTTCTGCAGCCTGTGGGAAAAAATGGTCCTTTCCCATGGTGGTTACTTGGCTCCTCCACCCAAGGTAGAGACACAGCAGAAGTC